AGCTGGAGTTATTTCATGGAGCCCAATGGTAATGTTATTTATGCATTCCATTTATATGCTTTCCCTATAATAAATTAAGTTGAGTTCAGAGTATTGCAAACTAATTTAAGATTACTGATAAAGCCGGGTTCATGTACCACTATAGGGAAATATCCAGTTCTCGATGATTTTACTTTGAAATTTGGCTATAATCTGCTAAAAAGTGGCTGACTATTTTGGTAGAATTCTCTTATCAATAATTGCTTTATTGGAATTATTATGAAAAATTCGCTGAATATCCTCTTTTCTAGCATATTAACTTAGCGGAGAGTTTTTAGGCAACAAATTTTCAAAATTTTTTAACAAATAATCCATCAGTAAAATTCAATGGAATCATTATTAGATATTGTGAAAATTACTGTCTAAAAGTTTTTGGGTTGAGCAATTTACTGGAAAAAAAAGATTCACTAAAAATGTGAATTTCTGTTTTTGAACAGCTCCTTAGTCAATTTGCACACTCCATGCATAAATAGCATGTCAATTAATTTAATGAATATTACATCAGAAGCGTGGTAAAAGATTGTACATAGCTTAGGCTTAAATAGCAATTTAACTTCAAAATTCATCACGAATTCAAAGTATAAGAAAAGCTCTTATTGTTGCTTCAAATGCCGTACTAATTTTAGTTCCAATCTTATAAGTGGTGCCATTGAGTTCATTCAAGGTAGACCGGATAAGTTTATTCCTAAATTCAGTTAAAGGATTTTTTGTTATCTCACCTTCAATTGAGATTGCAAGAGAAGTTACTGAATCTGGGAATATAATTATTGGGTCTGCCTTGAGTGAACTCAACAGTACTACTCGAGAGCTTTTTTTTTGGGTACCACAGAAGTAGTTGGACATCTGAAGCAAAAATGAGAGCTTGTTTATAACGTAATTATAAAATTAAATGAAAATTTCTTTTAAAAATAATAAATACAAAAAAAGTACATGCTTGCTTCTCACTTAGCCAACTCACTATTTTTTTCCTTTTTTCCTCTCTTTTCCACCTGTTAAGATTATGTTGCTATAGCTTATTGATTGATTCATTTTTGAAATGTGGCATCTCCGCATCCTTTTATTTTTATATTAATGGAAGCTCGTAAATCTTTAGTAAAGGCAACAATCCTTACATTATCTCAGGTAGTTCATCCCCTAGATAACTAGGATATGGGGCGTAGGAAGATTGAATGTCATAGGCTATGCTGAGAGCTAAATTCATATTCTCTCTTCTTTTTTTCATCACTGGCTTGCGTCTATAATTCATCATTTGGCAATTGGGATGATTGGCTGCAAGGCCCCTCTTTTACATCGCTAAATTTGTGTGTTTTTTTTTTTTAAATCATAGTCACTTTTTCTACGAAAAAATAAAAAAAATCATGAGTTAAACAAAATATTAAAAAATTAGCATTCATATTATGAAGCATTTGTGCGTACAAAATTACTCTGCAATTTTTTTACCACCCATTATTCGCTTGCTTGTATTTGAGGAGTTTATTTGTGTAGCTGTATCATGGTTGGCTCTTTTCTTAGTATCTATTTTTATAATAATACAAAAAAAAAACAAAAAAGATAAATGAGTAAAGTTACACATTAATTTAACTTATCATCCTATATTTCGTCTATGAAACTGAACTGGCAATATAGCGACGTGTCCTTACCTCCACGGTAAAGCTACAATTTTATTTTTTTTGCTCCATTTTTTTAAACTATTCTAGACTTGCTCATCTGATAATAACTTGATCCACATGTCATCTCGAATCCACATGAAAGTTTGCTCAGATTTGTGTTTATTGGTGTACATATCCGACAGGCATGTTAAATTGCATCACTTCTTTGATCGCATCATGATGTTGAGGTTCTGTAGAACCTTTTTATCAAATTTAAAAATAATATATAATAAAAAAATTATGAAATTTTTGGTTAAAAATGCAAAATAAATAATTGGACTGGTATTTTATAAAAATAAGAAATTATTGTAAATTCATGAAACAAAAAATCACCGACACTTTAAAAGGAAAATTTTCCAAGATGCATAAAGGAGCATCAAATTTCCTCCTCCTGCTATGTATATATTCTATCACGAGGTGGTTTAAACTTGTATAAAAAACCTTAAAAAAATAAGAAAACTATGCCAAAAATAATTAATTGTGTAAAGGCATTCACATTAAGATCTTTTTGTTTCAGTGTCAATTTTTTGTTTCGCATTAAGAAGTAACTTAGGACAAAAAGAAACAAAATAAATCTTTGTTGATAGCCTCAGACTAATCAATCGAATATTGATTAATGCATAATTGATCAAACACTAATTGTATTACCTGAAAAGAATTCTTCTTGTCAGAAACAAAATGTTTTAAATGTTCTTGAAAATTTGTGCTCCCATGAAAAATCATTTGTATTTATATGCTTTAAGGTTCTGAGTAATGGATCTCTCAGTTCGAGAAATAAGATCAAACCATTTCTTCTGATTATTTTTCAAATTTTATAAATTGTCTGTGTTCATGCATGATTATAATAGGTACACACTCCCATGCTGCAACTTGCTGAGGTGTTTGGTCACACAAGTTGTGGGTTGGTTAGTATGTGGGGTTATGAACTCAGGATAGCTAAATGGTCCAATATAATAAGATGGAGTTGGATATTAGGTTTGTTGTGAGGTGTATTCATGGTCACGATTTTATGTATGGCGGTGGAACATAATGCTATGAATTTAATGGTATGGTGTATGCATTCTGTGGGGATGGGTTGGCTTGTGAACTAGGTATTAGTTGAGTGATGTATATGGTGGTGGTGGTGGTAGTGGTAGTGGTGGTGGTAGTGGTAGTGGTGGTGATGGTGGAAGAATGTTTCTTTTGTTCAGAGAGTATAAATTTTATGGATTTTTCCCTTAATGCTTTTCTCCCGCATTATATACATTTTACAAAACCTTAGGATATTAATTATGAAATAAATAAATTAAAATATTAGTTGCATCAGAATGGTTATAGGTAAGAAAATTGTCAGGTCTATTCTATCAAAACAAATTTTTATACCTCGGACAAGCTTCTTATATAACTCACATTAGTCATACTCTCTGATGAAGGCATTCACAAATGTTAATATCAAATTAGTATACATGAATTTTAGAATTATCTATACTAACCATGCAAGTAATTTTAAATGTCATAATGAAATTACGTGAAGCTTTTGCATGGAAACTGAACTTGTGAAATAAAGGATAAGGTGAGATACTGAACATTTTCTATAATCACGAAGATTTGCTCACGCGTGTATATATATATATATATAGACAACAGATTTCAGACAAATTTGCATCACTGCCACGTATAGAGTGTGATTATAGATAAATAAACAATAAATTTCTGCACGAACAGCAAATCAAATACTTCTATGAAATATAAATATATTCCCCAAGCATCCATCCTTGCTACAACCTGTTGGGAAATGAAGCAAGAAAAAAAAAAGGAATCTCGCTCATTAATTTTTTTTTCTAATTATGTTCCTACAAATATCTTGCACATAAAGAAGGGGAAAAAAAGTCGATTAATGGGCTTAAGAATACCTAAGAATGATTGAGTGGGAGCAGCAATCAAAATGATGGTGGGCAATTTTGTAGTGACTGTTGGGGGTCTTACTAGGCATGAGAGAGGTAGAGGCAAGAGTCTGGATGATGATAATGAGGGTTTTATGACGAGTATGACTGATTTATTTAGATTGCTTGAAGATAATATTTGTAGTAACAAACAAATTTCCAACAAATTTGACTTTTAAAATTTGCTAGAAATTGTACCATATTTTTTTATCATCCACCAGCAATTCTTTGGTATCAACAATCAACAGACTACAACTTCAATAAAGCATAAAGAATGTTAGCAATAATATATAAAAAAGTCGTGAGTATTTCCGGCAAACTAGTGCTACTAACAAAATTTGCTTGAATGAACCTATTTTCCTATAGTACATCTCCACCCTTTGTGATTCTCAATTAGTTTCGAGTGAATCAAATCCATGCAAATATGAGACCCTCGCCTTGATTCGATAATAGTATTTGTAGAAGGTTTGGATGGACACCTCTCGCTTTGAATAATTCAATGTTCAGCACTCTAAGAAAGAAGAAGCTGTTGGTTAAATTGCTTCTCAAGTACAATAACCTTCATATTAGCACTGTAGGAGAGTTATTAGTCAAAGCATTGAAGAATATGGGTTGATGGATGTAGATATTGACTGAGCTTGATGGATTAGACTGTATAATACTTTCTAATGCAGTTCTATTGACCAACACAGCTGAAGCGCGGGCTCAGTGGTATAAAGGCAATCCAATATTCCATTATGGATGACATTCTTTATGAAATTCATGTTCTTAGTAACTTAGAACAAGTACTCTGGCGAATGTGGAAGTCATCTATGCAATTAAGTTGTGCTCAAGGTCACCATATTGGGTACATTCGAATGACAATGAGCAAGGAAATCAAGCTGTTTTCCAAATCTTGGGTTCCATGTCAAACGTTTGCATTATCAATAAACACTCGTCTGATAAACTTAATCTGATTATGTGCTTGTGGTCGATTGTGAGTCCAGAGGAGGGATATTTTTGGACCATTCCCTCCAATATCAGGATAATTGTTATATGTTTTGTTGATGGCTGACTATTTTTATTATGTGGATTAAGTGAAGCCTCTAGTGTCCACCATGGAGAAGGTGATTCAGAGATAATGTGGAAGCATAGTCTTCCTATTGCAATTATTTCTTATTATGAACCTTCATACTCAATTCGATTAGGAAGTTTTGTCAGGAGAAGGTCATTCGTATGAAGTATGCCTAGTCATAAAATGCTGCTGTTAGACTGAATTTATGATAAGCTCGAGATTATTTGAGTTTAAAATGAGGAGCGTTAGACTGAATCTATGATGCTGTTGTCATAATATTTTTTCAATGTATACTATTTTTTGCTGATATCCATGGTCCTATAAATACTTGTACAGATAGCTGATGTGTGGTCCTGTGGAGTCACACTTTTTGTAATGCTAGTGGGTGCATATCCTTTCGAGGATCCAGAAGAGCCAAAGAACTACCTGAAGACGATACAGGTTTTAGCTTCTTCTAGTTTTATAAATTGAATGGAAAATTAGAGTGGCTTTAAATGTTATCCCTTTTATATTGCAGCGCATATTAGGAGTCCAATATTCAATTCCGGACAATGTTCCCATATCTCTCGAGTGCAGACACTTACTATCAAGGATATTTGTGGCTGATCCTGCAATGGTGAGTACTGTATTCTAGAAATTTCTCTCATATTACAGGCTTGTCGGATCTACCGCCAATTTTGCTTCATGTTGGTATTTGACTGTTTACTTTTGGTGTATTATTTGAGTGAATTCTCATCCTTTTACTTTCTATTTTGAGTTCTATGTTCGTATTAGATTGATGCTTATGCTAATGTTGTAACAACGCTTCAAAATTTTCTATGCTTCTATAACGGTTCTGGGGAACACTTTCCTTAGAACTCATAAATGTTATTTCCTTAGAACTCAACTTTTTTGGAATTGGCTTAAAACATGCAAATGAGAATGGAAAATAAAAGAATTCTATGAATTTATATATTTGGGGATGAAGTTGTATTTTAGGCTATCAATGCATGCATCTTACAGGGAAGTAATTATAATATATAAATGGTAGTGTTATTGAAGACGTGCTGAATGTTCGTCTAGATCCTAGATGAGATGAGGCAAGCGACACCGCTGCATATTTCGCAACTTCCAAGCATTGCAAAGGCGAGCACATTGCCATGATGGGGGATAAATGTTAATAATTGAAAGTACATAAAAAGATTTTATGATGCCAATAATTTAATATTTGGTGGGTTGGAAGTGCTTTAAGAGTGTGAGTAAAAAGAGATGCATGCTAGAAATTAAGTTTATTATAGGCACAAGGATAGTTGGTCCGGATCAATAAGATTGTTTTCCCGAGCTTCAAAATTTCCTTACAATCAGGTGATGTTTTGAAAAGCATTAGCAGTAATTGTATTTACACGCATAGGATCTTTTTTTTTTTTTTGTGATTTGCTTGATTTAGAGACATAGAGACATTTTAGCCATTACTTATAATGTCTCTTAAGCCCCTGCCTAGACCTTAGAGGACTCGATTTTAAAATTAAAGGAGGCATAGAGGACTGAATGCTTGAAATGTGGAGTTACTTGGTTAAATTTATCGATTTAGTAAAGCTTTAAACCTTGATCAAAACAAATCATTAAAATATTATATTATGGAACAAAGTTTAATCTCACCATAAATATTTTAACTATTGAAAATATCTAATGCCAGTGGGAGTACTCTTGGGCATCCATATTGAGGTTCCAAGCCTTTTGATACATCGATAAACGAGATGGGAAAGCTTGAATTGATATATGAATTTTTTTTTATTCACCCAGGAAAACCTTTTCTTCCCCCTCAAAGTTTACATGTGGGATTTATTTTGGTTAAAGTGTGGTTCTAACGCTAGCACTGCAACATCCTTTTGTACTATTTATTTCATATCTATTTAGATAAGAGCTATAATATAAACTTAAAAGAAATATACTACATGGCAGATGTTATAAAGAATTAATTGAAATTTTGTTATGAAGCAAGTGCACTGTGTATTCTATAAAGAGGCATTTACATGCATACCACATAATTCTTTTTTATTTACATATCTAACATCTAAACTTTACTTTCATATCACATAAACAACACCACTATTTTAAGTTTTAAAAAGTGAAATATACCTTTTCATGCACAGTTAAGTTGAAGAATTGAGCGGCATGTGAATCTTCCTTCTATAACTTTTTTCCTGAGTTTTAGATGAAGCAAAGTATAAACTTTAGATGTTAGATATGTAAATACACCGGCAGGAATTGAGTGGAATGTATCTAAATGCGCCGAACCTTTTTTCCGTCGGTTTAATTCAGTGACAAACGTTGCAGAGGATAACAATACCGGAGATACAAAACCACGAGTGGTTTCTAAAGAATCTTCCAATTGATCTAATGGATGATAGCACAACGAACAACCAATATCAGGAGCCCGATCAGCCAATGCAGAATCTGGACGTGATAATGCAGATAATTGCAGAAGCAACCATTCCCCTCAATCATTCTCTATATTACAGCCCTGACCTCGACCTCGACGACATGGAGGATTTTGAATCTGATCCAGAGCTTGATGTTGATAGCAGCGGAGAAATAATTTATGCCATGTAATTTTATGTTCTGCTGGTGCTGCTACCTTGTTGATGATTGCCCCCAGACCTGTAGCACCCTAGAGTTCAGCTTGGTTTTTAATTGTGCTTATGCACAACTATGCCCCTAAAAAAACAAAAAAAAATAAAATAAATAAAGAACTAAGTAGTAATACAGCTTTATGATACATGTTAGCCATGTGATTATGCAGAATGGTGTGATTTTGGCTTTCTTGCCTTTGTACTGGTTTGTGGACCTTGTTTTCTGTTAAAAGCTGGTTCTGTTAAATGTAGTGTGTGTGCTGTTTGTTATGATGGTTTGTCTTTGTATATTCTATTAATTCTGCATGAATTCTATTTCAGCGAAAAAGCTTAATTGCATTAAAACATGATTATATGCAATAAAGTCGGTTGATTCAGGCAAAATAGCATGCTGCCGAGATTAGTTGCACACGCATATTAATGTGTAGGCTACATGATGTTGGACTTGATGACTACATAAAATCAGGATGATAATAATGCGCTAAAATAATATTTATTCAAGTATAATTGATTTTCTTTATTTATAAAATTAATATTTGGGTCATTTTTGCACAAAAAAATATTTTTTTTTAATCTATCAAAAAAGAAAATTTGTTATATTCTTAAAAATTTATAGGATCAAGCACGAGTTTTGATCCATTTCAAATTCAAATTTATGATCATATAAGTTATGTATTTATCAAATTTTTAATTAAATTGAGTGTTTTGATAAGATGAAATTAGTGGCTTTAATGTTGGTTTAATTTGAGTTAAATTAAGATCAAATCAAGCTGTTGAAACACAATTGAAAGCTTTTGATTGTTAATTGAATAATCAAATGAACTTTAAATTTAACATATTTATAGTTGAAACAAGTGTTTTGACAAGATGAATCAAAATAATATTAGATTGTTTAATTTTGAGGTCATTAATGCAGCTAAATATTAAAAAAAAAATTATGATTAATGGGATTAACATGGGCCGTTAGATTAGATAAGAAATTGTCTCAAAAGATCAAAATGCTCCTATGAAAAAAATTATAAAGAAATCCCATTTTTTACTTCTTAGAGGGGAGGAGAAGAAGAGAAGAAAAAGTGAAATTCCAAAACATGCTCTCGAAAGAAGACCAGACGAGTAACCACCGGCCTTCCTTGTTGCCAGCCACCATTGACCATCTTCGACATCACCACCTGTCACAGTCAACCACCAACTGTCAGAGATTACTGCTTGCGGTCATTATAACCATTGTTAAATTTTTCAATACTTATATTTTTTTAGCTATATAAAGCAAATGTATTTTTCAATGATTATAACCGCCGTCCAGAGATGAATGTCATTCTATTTATAAATATACAGTGTATTTCTTTGACTGACCTAGGGTTCGTGATTTTTCCCGTTTTAAGATTTTTTCATTAAAAATTCTAGTCTCAATTTACTATATTTTCATTTGTGCGTTGAATTTTTATACAACATTAAAATGATAAATCACTATATTCTAATGTCTCATTTCACTAAATTTTTCCAATGTCTCATTTAGCTAAATTCTAATGTCTCATTACGCAATATCACTGCAAATTTTCCGGCACAACAAAAATAAGTGTTGTTAATTTTGACATTTACATTCAAAATTTTAGAAAATAGAGAAAAGACATTAGTTTCATAAATAATTAAAATTCAAATATAATTTCTTACATATAAACCAATATGATAGAAGTTATTCACCAATTTTAACTCTCAACTAATTATAAAACAACCTCCTATGCATTACCTATCAAATGCTTTGATAAAAATTCTCTCATGTCCATGCAATTGATTCCCCTTTTCCTTGCTCTTCAAAAGCAAAGCATTTTGAATCCTTCGCCTATACTCTCCATTAGAACAAATGTTAACAACTCTCCATCAGACTAACATACCATAACAACACATATACATACACCAACACACAGACAAACACAACATCCAAACCTCACTCCACAAGCCAATCCAAATTGAAGCATTCTTCAACCACCTGAACCTTCAGCTCCGGCAGCTCTCTTCCCCTCTCCTTCCACAGCAACGCCATGTCCTCATCACACACCACATGAAGTGATGAATTCCGCAGCACAAACGACCTCGGTATCTTCCTCAACTGCAAGCATTCCCTCATGTCAATCTTCTCCAAGCCACTCAAGTTCCCAAACTCATCTGGAAGGTCTTTAAGGTTAACACACTGAGAGATATCCAAATACTTCAAGTTCTTCAGCCTGCAGATGGACTCAGGAAGCTTCTTCAATGCAGGGCATGCATAAACCCTCAGGATTTGAAGGGATTCCAGTCTTCCGATTTCGGCCGGAAGTTCCTGCAAGTCATGGCAGTTTGAAATGCTCATGTTCTCAAGAGACCTCATATCACAGATAGTGGAGGGGAGCTCAGGAAGATCCATGGAGTGATCTATTGAGACATGAGAGAGATTGGGAAAAATGGTTCTGAGGTCAGTTTTGGAGTCTTTTTTGAGAATGTTTCTGAGATCACAGAGGACAAGGGAGATCTTCCTTAGGTTCTGTAGAGGGATAGTAGTGCGGGGTAAAGGCGGAACAGTTATCTTCTCGAACCAGAGGCTCTGCAAATTGTTTAATGAGGTGAAGGTGAATATGTTTCCGAGGACGACGCTCGATGAGCCGTAGTTGATCAGAATCAGTGACTTGAGGTTTGGCATGGTGTTTACAAAGGGAGGCAGGAAATAGGCTTCTGCTGCAAGGTTTATCATGAGAACCTCAGCCTTGGGGCATTTTATGGGTGGCCAGTCAGATTCTCTCATTTCACCTGTGAGAGAACAAGTATCATTTTGTAATTATTAGAATTTTTATGCTTTAAGATGAATATTGGTATCATATGCAGCCAATCTTTATTAGAAAGATATAGTAATTAGGAAGATTGGCATACATACCTAACAATTCATATGTAGTTACATATCTAAAACCATGCCTTTGATTTTTATGTTCATAACACTTCATATATTTTACCTTTAAAAAGTTGTTCATAATTATGTTTTTGATATGATCTGAAAAGTTTGAATGTTATGAATGGAAAAACTGAAGTTTATGCATTAGATATGTAAATATACATGATTTGTGTCAATGTATATAAATGCCTCTAATAATTAATATTTGAATACATCTTCATTATTAAAATATTCTCCTTTATCATAAAATTTTATTTATTACTCTATTTTTTCATTATATAAACACGTTTATATTATTATCAGAATTCAATAAAAAAAAATAAATTTGAAAGTTTTCTAACAGTCAAACTTATTCTAGGATTGACTAGATATATGACTTCAAAAAGGAACTGTGGGGTCCATACAGAAATAGCGAAGTTGAACAAGTCACTCATATTGACTGGCACTGCTCCTAAATAAGATAGCGAAGCATTTGGCTGAGAATTTTGTCGCACTCCATATCCCTGGCCCAATTTATAAGCAAATGGAAAATTTACATTAAAATCATTTAATTCTCATGTAATTACACTCTAATAAATCTATATAATATAAATAGATAGATATGTGTGTGTGTTATCTACTTCACTTTTAAGAAGTTAAAAAAGTGATATTTTTGATGTGATATGAAAGATTTAAGTGATACAAATATAAAAAATTGAATTTAGGCGTTTGATACATAAATACATAAGGATTGGGCGGTATGTATTTAAATGCCACAAAATAAATATGCAATTTAAAGCTGACCAATTCTCTGTGATAATGAACAAATACCTGTATGGATTGAAACAATTTGCGCTTCAAATGGCTGATCATGATTCCTCTCCCAATCCTTTGGGAGTCTAGCTTCTCTTTTCGGCATGATCAATCTCCTTCGGCTCTTCAAAGGCTCACGATTGTTCATATAAAGCGCCAAATCTCTCAAAATATCATGCTGGGTAATGGAGAGCTCACAGTAACTGCTATATATATCTCCTGCCCTGTTCCTAAATAATTACACAATCATACCTTCATTTTAAAAAAAATACTTTACAATCATATAAGAAAATTCAAGCAATATACTGAAAAGTTTTGACTGACATACTGTGTATCCTTCACCAGAGTAAGAAGACTCCTGTTCGAAAGTTCAACGAGTATAGCGAAGGCATCTTCCTCATAGAGATCATGTAAATCCATCCATAAATTGATCAGAACATCCAAAGGGATCTTTTTATCTTCAGGAAATGATCCCAAATCCAGAAAACAATCCTTAACCTTTCCTGATAAGCATTCAATGCTCGTAGCCATTCTTTCCAGAAGCTTTATCTCATGAGATTCTGATATAGTTTCTCCCCTGGAGAGTCTGTTCTTCGCACTCACCCAGATCTTTGGAGGCTGATCTCTCAAAGAAGCTCCAATCACTTTAAGAGCCAAAGGAAGCCCTTTGCATTCAGCCACCACCTGTACTCAAATAAGCATAAGAATCTGATGAAACAACAGTTTACAAAGCGTAATTTACTTATTTGATCAACAGACCATGAAAAATTTTAAAGATTTACCTGCTTCACCAGATTCTTATCAGCAGTGGGTGGAATTGAATCCTGACCAAAAGCTGAGCTGCAGAAAAGGGAGAGAGATTCATCTTCTGAAAGTAACTCCAATTCATATGTGCTGCTGATGATTGTAGGGAACTTGACCCTCGACACCACAAGGGTCTTGCAACCAGGTGCTCGAAAAACCAGTTCTTCGAGCTCGGTTTGTGACCACACATCATCTAACACGACAAGAGTTGGCTGCTTAAATCTTGGTTTCAAATCCATCTGCCATTGAGGTATCTGTTTGTACAGACCAAGAACCATACTTCCACCAATCTGCTCCCAAAGTTTCAGTTTCAAAGTCTCTAAATTTGGGAACTGTGAGACTGTCTCAAAGAAAATTCTCTCGCCAAAATAATCTGGAATGTCAAAAGGCAACAACAAGATGCCATATTTAGCAGATTAATATGCCATTAATATTGCATGATCTATGAATATAAGAAAACCTTTATGAAATCATGGCGCAAGCTATGTTTTAAATACTACAAATATAGATCAACTGTATAATGCAAAATTGATACAATAGGAATCAAAACAACATAAATATCAAGAATTGGAGGTTACTCAGTTAAGTTTTGATCTAAAAACCGAAATCACAAGACAGCTCACAAGCAAAATTTAGAACTTTAACAAAGAAAGAAAGCAATAAGAGGCATACTTCGAATCTGAGTATCTTTACATATCTCTCTCGCCATTGTCGTCTTCCCACTCCCTCCAATCCCACAAATTCCCACAACTTCTCCTCCACCCGCATTCATCAACATATCTTTAACCTTTTCCCTGCCGACCCTCACTCCGACCCCCACCACGTCACCTTCCCTCTCTCCCACAAACCCTAACCCATCGATCATCTCCAAAACCCTAATTCTTCCTTCCCCGACCCCCACTGCCACCGCGTCTTCCACCTTCCTTTCCAACCGATCAAATCTCACAGACGATTCAACCCTCATGTGATGAACATCGGCGAGTATATGCACCGGAATCTGCCTCTGAATCCAACGGTTAATCTCCCTCTCCACCTTATCCATTTTGCGGGCAAGTTGAAGGCTGCGGTAAACGTTGAAGCGGCTGGATGCTGCAACTTTGCGAGCGAGATCGAGGCCGAGGTGGAGTAGTTGGAGGAGATCCGAGATTTGCTTTTGGATGGGTTGGGAGTGTTCGACGCCGGAGAAGCGGATCTCCGTGATGATGGGGAGGAGGGATTCGACGGAGCGGCGGAGTTGTTCGGCGCTTTGACGGCACAGGTAGACGCGGCGAACTACTTCGATGAGTTCCTTCACGAGTTCGGTGGCAATTTCGCCGGCGACGAAGGTATCCATCGCCGGCGGCGAGAAGGCGTTCTTTGCCGGGCAGAGAAGGAAGTGGAGTTGCTAGTTGGAACAGAGCGAAAATGAGAGAAGGGAATTGAAATAACGCGGGATGGAGGGCAATTTTGTCAATGAGATTTGTCCTTTTCGACAGCACAAAAAAAAAAAAAAATTTTTTTTTTTGCAAAATATTTATTAAATTATTGTGTGGGGCATTTTTTTATAATTATTATGAAACGATAAATAATTTTTTCGAGAAAATCATAATAAAAAACTCAATATTTACAATTACTTTACTTTAATGAATTTAATTCTAAATTTAGATTTCTAGAAAAAAAATAAAAGGGCATGTTAGCTATAACGCCCTAATACTCTCTGTATAACCTCCGACGTACGCAGCTCTGCATACGTAAGACGTACGCAAATTTTTCTCTTCATAATAGCATTATAGTTAAAAATATTTTAATTGAAATCCAAACATATCAAAGGAAAGCATTAAAAATATAATTATAAATTTGTCAAACTCATTTAAAAATCGATCATCATCTCAATACTCTACAAATTGAATCCCACAAGCTAATGATCACTTAATTTTGAGCTCTTTAAACTATTGAGAAATTGGAAAACTAGAAATTACAAGATGGGGCTTTTTAATTTGTGTAGGAGGGAGCATTGATTCATATTTTTAAAAAAATGACTTGTATCTCTATTATATGTGCTTGTGAATTTAAGTTTATATTTATGTGCTTTACAAATATTAGGTGTATGTTTTTTCAATAAAAATAATGATAAAATTTTGTTTTACATAAATTACTTTTATCGTTGGAACACATACATTAAATGTATGAGATGCTTAATTATGCATGATATATTGAGAATATCATTGAATGATTGTCTCTACGTATTGTATAATTAGGTTGTCTTGTATAAATTTCCCCAAGCAAAAAAAAGAAATTATATATGTTTTTTGTTTTCTAACAAATCATAAGCATAATATAAATCACGGGAATATATGTGTAAATCAATAGTATATAGATTTAAGAGCAGTGTATTGATCCAACCGATAACATGTTATTTTTTTTTGAAAAAGATGAAATTTCTATTTTACTTATCCTAGGTTTATTTTAAAAGTTTGAAAAGTTTGTGAATTTTTGATAGTTTCTAAATCCTAATTTTGCAAAAACAAACATAAAATTGAGAGTAGGGTTTTCTAATGAGTGAAAGTACCTTCCTTGAATCAGACATGAGAAACCTAGATTTGTCTAATTAATTCTTCAGTAGTAGATAACTAGGAGCAAATATACTCCTTAGCCTCTTCTAATCTCATAAGTCTTGGAATTTAATATTATAATTAGTTTTCTAAATTATGCATAACCCTCAAGATTCCAAGTTTTTTGCAATATCTTATCAACTATATTTCTATTCTCTTAGGAAAATGTGTGTTAACTTAGTTGTTCCACTAGCTTTCTTCCGTTGTCCATGATCACAACAAAATTTAACATTTCAAGCAAACAATTCAGAAGTAAAGTAAGCGTGCATAGTTTACATAACAATACTTCCAATAACATTCTAAAAATCACACAACATGTATATATCTAAGTTTCCTGGATTATCAAACCAAGGGAGAAAATTTTCTAATTCTTTAACTTGAAAAATGCACACAATTGGAACTTCATTTTTAAAAAGTAAAATCAAGTTTATACAAAAATAAGAATTATCAAAACCGATTGAATCTTTCTTTGCTTCACAAGGATTCTTCCTTTTATAAGAAACTTGAGTTGCATGCTCTTAACAAAAATTTACAATTGGGAAACTCACCCACTATCACTCAAGAAAACAATCACTCTCACACACTCTCCTTTGCTATCTTACAGTGGCTAAATAAGCAATTAACACACGGGAGCCACGTCTCCTTTAAAAATAATGAATTTAAGCCCAAAGACTACCAGATCATGTTGAAACTGTGTAAACCACCCATTAGTTGGTTCTGGGCACTTAGGCTCCAGCTTGGGGCATTGAGTGTCCTCGTTGAGGTGCCTAGGTGTCAAATGCGAGTATTGGGTTTTCGTGCTCTCTATTCGTTGGTGTGAAGAATGCTCTCCTGTTTAGGCACCTGGGCACCAAACTAGGCACCTAGGTGCTTGGACCAGGAAATTACTTATCATGCTCTCTATAACATTGGTGAAATGGGGAGCTTGTTCAACTGCATGGGCACCTAGGTGCTGGTATGAAAATTAGCATGAACTTTGCTCATATTGCTCCCCATTGCTAACTTTCAACCTTTATACTGTATATAAAACTAAATATATTCTGCCAAGACATAAAATGATACAAATGGTACATAAAACACATGAATTATCACATTTTATTACTACGTATCTAATTCTCCCAAACTTAAACATTACTTGTCCTCAAATGATTTAACACCTAAAGTTAGAATTTTTGAAAATTCATAGTGGATTTTGACTTTGGATTTCAATGGTTTTTGGTAATGAAATAAATATATAATTTAAAGCTCACAATTCTCTTCTTAGAAATCCCTAATATCCCAACATAACTTATATTAACACGCTTTCTTTTTAGTTATCCTTACATCATTTATAATTGGTTGATTAAAATAAGATGAATTCTTAAATATATGAATTTTAATTGGGTTAATCAATTAAATATAGTTATTATTTTCTTGAATATAATATTATGAATTTAGAGTTAATGATATTTTTAATTATTTAATTTTTAAAAAGGGAGATCGATACCAATACTTGATTTCGAGCTTAATCTCAAGCTTCTTTTCTAAAGCTCCTAAATTTTTTTATCTTTATTAACTTTATCCTTTTTTATTTTTTTTTCTTTTTCTTGTTTTTTTTTAACTTTAATTGATGATTATTATATCTGATTAAGCTTTTTTTAAATGATTTGAATATCAATTCTTTCTTTAGTCAAATTCTCAATAATTTCCTAACCTTAATTCATAATATCATAAGTTGAGAGATTCTAAATAAACTTATATTATTTGGATTGATTAGTTATTAAATTTAATATATTTGTTGAGTTAATCCTATTTGTAGTCAATTTAAGTGTAAGTGTTTAAAATTACTTATAAAGAAAAGTAATTAATTATAGTTAGATGTTACTTATTAGTGAGTTAATAATACCTTCCATTACTTAAAAAAGATTGATGTCATTTTTAATTACTTTCTTTACCTATTATTTAGTCATGCCAGATCCTAATTTATTCTATCTTTTTTTTATGGAAATCCAAAATTTAGATATTTACTCTTATTTTGGGGCACAAATTTTTTACAAAAATCCCTCCCCCAAACTTATTTTCTATACTACCCATGTAAATAATAACATTACAAAAATAAGGAAAGGGCATTAAATCACATGAATATGCGAGACAAAAACTAAAGCAAACCATATATGAAAACATATTATAATTGATAAAGGAATACATAGCAATAACATAACATGAACAACCACATATAATCCATAAATCGACTAAGCAATAACAGGATCACAAGCAAGTCAGGCATCATCATACTCATTATCATCGTGCTCCTAAATATAGGTGGGAGCTGGGTGGCTCTAGAGATATAATTTAATAAATACAAAAATCACACAATAACGATGGCTAACACTGATGGTGATGGCCGAATGACATGGATTAGATTGTGAAACTCTTTAAGTAGAACAAAGTTGAACACTTACCATTTAGTGTAATGGTAGAATTTCATCATATGCTCTAAAGTTAATTGTGCTCGTATACGAGCACTCCTTGGATGGGTGACCTCCTAGGAAGTTACACCAATAGGGAAAAGTCTTGAGTCCATCGGGCCAAAGCGAGCATTATCTCGATGGATGAGAGTTTTGACTGTTATAAATGATGTCAGAGTATTACACCTGTCCAAAGATGGGAACAAAGTGCCATACAGAATAAAGTGCTACGTCTTGGGAGCCACCTCTTGAACCCTAGATGGGATAAAGTGCTATATGGGGGAAGTCACCTCTAGAATCCTAGCTTCAAGGTGAATGATTATGGGTTGAGAAAACTATTGATGAAATTAGTTTCCTAAGTGGGGGAGCTTGTGAAACTGTTCAAGTATAATGAAGCTAAACTCTTAAACATTGAGGTATTTTTTGGTGTAACAGTGGAATTTCATCATAACCACCAATGTTAAGCGTGCTAGTATGGGAGCACTTACACCTGCATGGTAGCACTTATAAGATGGGCTGCCTCTTAGGAAGTTACACAAACAGAGCATAGTCATGAAACTATTAGGCCAAAACAAACAATATATCGATGAATGTTATGAGACTTCGCGTTGTTAAAAAGATGACATTGGTTAGATGAAGATGTAAATCTCTTAGATCTTTGACCTCTCTCAAGCCATTAATCCTAATCCAACCCCCATTCATGTTGAGAGTATGATTTTATTTATTGATTTTGAGAGTTACATTTTAGATAAATTTCACCTAAATCCAAAACACTCAATCGAATAGCTGAGATTAATTATTTTAATTGCATTTTTTTTTTGTGTTCGAGTCCTTTAATGATATTTGAATTAAGAGATCTTAGGCTTATCAGATTTGTCTCGCTAAATTTTAAATATCATTTTGTGCTCCAATTAATATCTAAAATTTTATTATTATAATTTTTTAGCTAATGACAATATAATTAATCCTATAAATCATGCGGCTTAGAATTCATTTGAAGCTTAAACCTAGTTCTACGTTTGCTTCTTCTAGAACTTGCTTTAAAGTAAAGACTTTACGTGTTGCCTTTCATGATGCTTAACTGTCAATTAATAAATAATTCTTAATTTGTTGATAGATGTAAAAATATTGGAATAATAAGTCAATGTTCAAGATACATAATTACTAATTAATTAATAAATAAGAAGACTTAGTTCAAGATGGAAATGACCATCAAGATAGAGAAATATTTGGAAAGTAAATTAGGATAGATTATTCTTTGATATGTCATCAATAAATTTTTATCAATTGAGACGACTTTTAGGGTATTTTTGCATGATAAATATTTTGGATTTAAATTCAAGATCATTCTGTGCCCTAATTTCAGTACGCTTGT